AAGAGCACTGTTCGCTCAACTGTAGTCATGTAAAGTATTCCCAGTTCCAAAGGCCAGAGCAAAAAGCACACACCTATATATAAATGTATTTTAATTATAGACAAGCAAAAAGCTAAAGTTGGGTAATTTTCATTTTATACAGGAAGAGAACACTCCCATGTGTCTTCAAGGTATAATTATAGAATTCAACTCTCAAGTGTTAAGATAGCCATGTATAGTTGTTAATGCAGAAGTACTCTATTGATTCTAATTTATTTTTTGTAGGCCCTCTCAGTTTCATTGTTTTATAAGTGACCTTATGGACTCATTAAATCATTCAGCATGATATTTATGCACCTCTCTTTAATGAGTCCTCCAACACCTTGGATTCTCTGAACTTCATATTTATTATTTTAGTAGCAAACTTCTTATTTTAATTAATCACATCCTTCACAGACTCAAATGAGATCATAAAATAGTAACCTAGTTGTATACAACCTTCTGTTGGTAGACAGCTTCTTCTTCTTCATATTTAAAGATCTTGAAAGGCATATACAACCTCCCTTGTGAATCTATTAAAGTACTCAGATATTCTCAGTCTTAGTAAACTTTATTCTTGTTTAAATCTTTCGAAAGTTAGCCCAAAGCGCTTTCTGTGAGTCCAACAGCAGAGAAAGCGCAGGACAGGGTCATTTGTCACCTGCTCTGGAGAGCGGGATGCCCCTTCCTGAGCTGTGACTGAGTCAAATACAATTGAAAAGGAAATATTTCTCTTTCAGGATGTTTCTTTAGATCTTAGTATCCTCAGGGGTAAACATAGGTCCTAGGAAATATAACTTGAACAAATAAATAAAATCCAAATGAAAGACAATTGCTTAACAAATAAAAATTGGCCTGTGGCAACATCTCATGTGTACTCTAAGCCCCCCTTTTTTTAGATAAGTTAGAAGCAAGCCAACTTAGCAAGAATATAGGTGTAGTAATGGGAGAAGAAATCCACCAAGGAGAGAAGATGGGGTAAAAAGATCTTAAGCATATACAATTTCTGGTTAGAACTCAACATCTAAGTAGAGGCTCAATGGCAAGTGAGTTAAGAAACAGGAAGGCCGAGGGATGGATGGAGGGAAGAATGGATGGATGGAGGAATGAATAAAGGGAGGGAAGGAGGGAAACGAAGAAGGAGGGAATGGAAGGAACAAAAGGAAGGAGGGGAGGAAGGGAGGGAAGGAGGCACAGAGCTCACTAACTCCTTGGAACTTCAGTTTCCTCAAGTAGACAATAATGAGAAAAAGAAGATAGTAACATGATGTGCATTGAAGATGTCTGATAATGTAGTAAATATTCATTCAGTAAGTGATAATTGGAATTTTTTTTTGGGGGGTCCGGTCTTGGAGCCTGAACTCTGGGCCTGGGCGCTGTCCCTCAGCTCTTCAGCTCAAGGCTTGAGCTCTACCAATTGAGCCACAGAGCCACTTCCAGCTTTTTTTCTTTTTGCTTATGTGGTGCTGGGGAATCAAACCCAGGGCCTCATGCATGCAAGGCAAGCGCTCTACCACTGAGCCACCTTCCCAGTCCCTGGAATTGTTTTTTAAATCACCTTCATTAGGAAATAAATGTAATGCCCTTCTGTAGTCTTAAACTGACTCTTAGTATTTTAGAGCATGTAGGGATAGTGTTTTCTTTGTGTGTGTGTGTGTGTGTGTGTGTGTGTATGTGTGTGAGTGTGTGTGTGAGAGAGAGAGAGAGAGTGAGAGAGAGCGCTCTATTGAAAATGACATTATGAATAAAGAAGGTGCTTAAATATTTTTCACAGATTTATAGTTTTCCAATGCGGTCATCTATATTTTTAGAACTTGGTCATTCTACAATTCTTTATCTCAAGACTCACTGACATACAAAATGAACAATCATCATTTTTTTATTGTTTGTTTTAAATCTCGCTTAGCAGTGGTGATTTATGGTTATTGAAATAGAACTTATTAGGATTAAAAGTCTGACTCATCTGTTCAGCTTCATCTATTAATCTCTAGCTAATACCAAAGAACAGATGGTTCAGCCAGTAACAAAAGTCTGAACTCTGAACTTACAAATTAAAAAAAATGGAATTTGAAGCACTTATGGATCATTTTTGGACTCAACCTTCTACAGCAATAACAAATTATTTTCAGCATCTGTGTGATAGCTGTATGTCTTGTTACTTTTAATCCTTTCACTTTGTTTTCAGTTATGGTGAATAAATGGAAACATTTGGGGGAGAAAAATAAAACCAAGCAAGGAACATTTCGTAAATATTAAAATTTATTCAAAACTTCACTTTCCATATAAAGCTATAAAAGAAAAGTTTGTTCTTTTTCAAATAAAAAATACTATAATTAGAATTAGTTTTCTGTTTCAGCAATGAAATCTTTTTTTCCCCAAAACTGTGAGGTTGGTTTATTTATATGTCACCTTTTGTACATGGAAAGCCAAGGGGACCAAACAAACTAAGAATGCTATTAAAGAATTTATGTAGAAGTCTAGGTATTGTGGGAATGTTTGTATCTTTTTAAAAATAAATATTCTTGCTAAGCAAGAAGCTCAATTGACATTCTGAAGGGAATACAAGTTGTGAACCTGGCTATCACCAGCAATAAAACCCAGGAATGAAAATGTATCATTTATGGTTGCTAAACATTTGATTGAAAACAATACCCAAGTTCTGTTTTTAGCTCTGCTGTCATTTTTATCCTCAGCAAACCATATACTCTGCTTATGTATAAAATATCACAAAATGGCTCTCAAAATTACCAGGCAGTAACAGCAAGTGTGACAAGAAAATCCTAGATGCTCCTAATTGATGACTGGAGAGATAGTCTTAACATTCATATGTAAAAGGAAGAAGGTATTTTCAAGGTCTTGCTGATAGCTACCTGTAGAATCCAAAAATCAATATTACATGGCCCTGTCTCTTCAACTTAGAAATATGAGCTTTAGCTTTATCACACGGTTACATGGGAAGGGTGGGGAGAACTGTCATTGCTAAGAAGGACAGAGAATTCATGGCCAGGTTCCCCTCTCTTTCTCTCTCTGTCTCTGTCTCTCTTTCTCTGTGTCTTTCTCTTTATCTCTCTCCGGTTATAATCAAGAGAAAACAAAAAGGTCACGAGCCAAGCTTGCCCTTAGATAAGATGTAAATTCAAATATAATGAATTGCCATAATAGTAGCTTAAAGCTTCTGCATTTTCCAGCTGGGATGTAGTAATGTAGTAGAACCTTGCTAAGCAGAATGTGGTCCCTGAAAATATGGTGGCATCTGGTTGCTATTATTGGGGAGTTAATTAAAGGAAGATACCCAGGCCCCATTCTGCCTCTTGGGTAGGATCTGCAATTCAATGGGATAGGGATGCTGCAATAGTTCATAGGCCCATGGAGGTTTGCAAACACTCTGAGCCGTGGGGAAATTTGTAAAGCCATTTCTTCACCATTTATTTTTTTGACATGTTTCTAACCTGCATTACTTCACAGATAAAAGATAAAAATAGAGCATCACTATCAAACGCTGCTCATATTATCTCAAAATAGAACTTAGCTACTTAAGGTAATTATTTTTGTTTTGTTTAACAACATTTTTCAAAATTTTAACTAACAGTGTGTGGCAATAATGATATGTACTTATGAGGTATAGCATATTTCAGTGCTTAGACATGACTATTAAGATCAGACCAGCATAATTAGCATATCCATCACTTCAAATATTGATCATTTCTTTGTCTTATGGACATTCAAAATCCCCTCAACTAGTAATTTTGTAAGTTTATTTTGTAACGTACAATTACATGTTCTTAACAATAATTAGTTTCCATTGCTATTAAAAGTTTGCTTTAAGAAATAATAATCACAATGAACCTTAGAACTTTAGGGGGAGGAGTGATGGAAATGGGGGAGGGAAGGGATAGTGGGAGAACACCAAAGGAAGGGGAAACAATGCTTGACAAGAAATGCACTCATGTTACTCATGTAACTGTACATGTTACTCATGTAACTGTAACCCCGCTGTCCAGCATCTTTACAATTAAAAAAATAATTTTTTTCCTCTTAGAAATGTATACCCTTTAGAATAGCACAGGCCAATTTTCTTATTAAAGAAATACAACAGATTTCCTTTGGCAAATTAAAATCTTGGCTTCAAAGTTTTTATTTCAATTAATTAAATAATTCTTTAATTAATCCCAGTCCTAGGGCTTGAACTCAGGGCCTGGGTAATATCCCTTACATTTCTCCTTCAAGGCTGGTGTTCTACCACTTGAGCCACAGCTCCAATTTTGACCTCCTATTGGTTAATTGGAGGTGAGAGTCTCATGGACTTTCCTCGATCCTCAGATTGCAGCTTCCTAGGTAGTCAGGATTATTATAGGCATGGCCATGGCTAAAAGTCTTATGTCCAGTTTAACATTCTTTCAAGCTGCAGTTTGCTCCAAGCAATAGTACCTGGCCTAAGCATTCCAACTGTTACTTCTGCAGAAACCAAGGACTCGCGCTGTCCCTTTAACTCAAAATGCCACCTGCAAATGAAATTAATTTTGCTGAACTTATAAAAGGACGGCTGTGGTAAGTATAGCAGACTGGACTGAGAAGGCTCTCTGAGTGTTCATTTGATCCCTTTGAGTTTCGAGAGAATAGGATCATAGGAAAACAGTGCAGTGAGAGGTAGAATGGAATTTCTTTTTTCAAAAGTGAGAATGGTCAAAGTAGATGAAAGGAACACGAAACTGAACAAGGAGCCTACTTTTTCAAATAGTGAAATCAAAAGAAGAAAGAGGAAGACAATGATATGGAAGAGTGGAAGTTACATTAGGAAGAGAGCTCAAAGAAGAAGAAATGAGGACAGGAGAAAAGTGGGAAAGTCAGGAAGCAAACATCATGGGTGTGGCTGGGAACACAACGATCCTTAGAAAGGGGAGGATGGAGACCAAAGAATGTTTGGAGCTGGATGGCTACATACCACCCTTCTCTCAAAAGCGACCCCTCCCATCCAGTCCTACCTGGCCGGAAGGACGGTGGTCACCACTTGAGAGCTTGAGGGTTGGGGGGAGTAAAGTTGGGGGGGATAGAGGGATCCTCATGGCAACTTTCCGACAGGGATGAGGAGGAACCTTCCCCCTGTGTGGAAAAAAGGGAGGCTGTCATTTGTATGGCAAGGAAATGGCTTTCTTAGTCACCTGCTGTTTCAAGTTGTTTGTCTGGGCAGTCTCTTGGTGTGCTTTGGAGAATAGAAATTTAGCACTCCCAAATCTCTTTGGTAGATCTATCCCCAACCTCGGAAGTGTGCTGGAGCCTACCACAAACGCAGCGAGACTGATACTTACATTCTCCTTGGGATTTCCCTCATCCTCTCTAGGGATGGTATGTCAAGTATGATCGCAACTATTCATGTTGGAAAACTTTCCACAAAAATCCCATTACTATCAAGAAAGCTGAGATAGATAAAATGACACAGAATGATTGACAGCTTTTGTGCAGTTGAACAAGGCATCTCAATGAATGCAGCCTTACTGGCAGAAAGGAAGAAAGGAAGGAAGGAAGGAAGGAAGAAAGAAAGAAAGAAAGAAAGAAAGAAAGAAAGAAAGAAAGAAAGAAAGAAAGAAAAAGAAAGAAAGAAAAGGAAAGGAAGAAAGCAAGCAAGCAAGCAAGAAAGAAAGGAAGGAAGGAAGGAAGGAGGAAGGGAGGGAGGGATGGAGGGGGGGGAAGGAAGGAAAAAAGACAGAAAGAAAGGAAGAAAGAAAGGTATGTTTTTCACAATGCAAAGATAATTTATCCTTTGCATCAATGATTCGTTTAAAGGTATTTATTGCTTCAGCAGCATATATAATGGCACCACACAGGGATAAGAAGAATCTATAAATTCATGAAGTGTTTTATAGTTTTTCTTTTTTATAATCACCAAAGATATAGTGAACATGAAATATGTTGTTGTTGGGTGTCTGGAGCTCAAAAGTATCAACAGCATGGAGAAAGTAGACAGTCTTGTGGAGATTGTAGCCCTAGTGGAGTTAATAGCCTAGTGGGGAAGGGCCATCACTGAATGACAACTTGAGAATAGAACTAGATGATTTAATAAAGGATGTGGTAATCACTATGATAAGCAGATCCTAGAGCAGAAGAAAAAGGAAAGGGGAGGAGGCAAGGGATGGGAGAAGGATGGGCATGAGGTCGTAAAGGAAGAGAGCTTTGAAAAACTTGGAAGATAGGAGAGGGTTAATCAAGCAGACATTTGTGAGACTGGCCTGGATTATTGGGGCTAACCCAGGAAATCATCCTGAGCTTCTTAAAAGCAGTAGATTGAAGAGGAAAACAAGAGGCGATATAGAAAAAGGGGGTCATGTTGGATCCTGTAAGCATTTATTCTGAAGGAACAAAGGCACCACCAGGGGTCTTGAGTATAGGAAAAAATCTGATTTAGAGGATGACTGGCTGTTGGGTATGGAGTAGACCAAGTGATACACAACAGCAGGAAAACCATTTAGAAGGCCATTTGTTAAATTCAGGCAAGAGTTGAAGGTGGTCCTGGCTTCAGTACTTTGTCTCAGAGTTCCTAAGAGGTCTTAACTACTTTAGGACACATCTCAAGTCCTAAGGATTTTTTTTTATTCCAACTAAAAGACACAGCAATCAATTTAAAAGTTATAGCAGATCAATGGGTATTTCCCAAGCCTAAAGATTTATTGTTTTTCTTTGCTTTCTTTTTTGAATGTAAGTTTCAAAAAAAAAGGAAATAAACCCTTTCAATCAAAGATAGAAGATGATGTATTTTCTAGTCTTCCATAACCCATAACCATGAGGCATGCTCTCTCTGGACACAGATATCTCATAAATCAGCAATAATTACTGGGGCAAACCCACTTTGGCATCACAATGGTTAAATTACTTAAGCTCCCCTGCTGTTGTGTAAATTTGTATGAGTGAGTGTGTGTGTGTGTGACCCTGGATATATGGGTGTGCCCATGTTTATGTTATTTTGAAATGTGAAAATGTTAGTTGAACCTTGGTTTTCAGTTAGAAATTCAAAGACCTCTTTTTTAAATTCTAAGATTCAACAATTGATCATAATAAATACAGAAGGCTTAGGCCAATTAGCTTTTGTTGACAGAAAATTTTATCCACAGGACTCCAAGTGCTTGGTTTGTGACACTAATTCAGCCTGAGGTATAATAAATGGAAAACAGAGGACTTCACTCTTGTTGCTAGCAAAAATTTCCCTGATTTGAACAAAAATTCTCTTCAGTGTCTTCTTAGCCCAGGGTTCCTGAGTTGGCCCTTTTCTGGCAATCATCAACTATTTCAAAGTACCTAACATACTTCCTCAAATATTTCTGTTGGTCTGAGTTTGGCAAGCCTTTTCCTTGAAATGTGGAAAGTTTTGGATACAATCAAGTAATAGTTTCCAGACATCAATTCAATTTTTATATTTTTTGCTTTGTTTTGAAATGTATTTGGAGTGTGTGTGTGTGTGTGTGTGTGTGTGTGTGTTTGTGAGTTTTCACTATCCTGTTTATATTTCAGGAGAGTTTAGGGAAAAAAAAACTAGAGTTATAGTGGGAATGAAAAGGATAATTAATAATAGAAAAGTTCATGCAGAATAGGCACAATTGCAGACATAGAGAAGTAGAAGTTGAAATACGCCCCCAAAGATTTCTTTCTTTCTTCTGTGTTTGTACAGATGTTTTTGTGTTCAGTGAATGGGAAATAAAACCAATAATATCAAAGCTATTTCTGATTTAAATTCAACAGCTGCTGAGATGACTTGAGACCCCACTAACACATCCATCCCTACTCTAGCAAGTGGACAGAATTCTCCCTCAATCCTGGTCCTTTCATCCTATATATCTACCATCCTATATATCTATCATCCTTTGGAATAAAAAACATAAGAGAGGAAGGGAAAGAAAATTGATTATATTTCAAACTCAGTTGACATCTAGGAGGAAAGAGATAACAAAAATCCATGAAGTACCCACCAAGAAAGGACTAGGCACACCTCTCCACTTTCAGCCCTAGAGATGATTTGCATGTTTCTGCTAAAGAGAAATTGAATGTTATTTATTTAGTTATTTATCAGTCATTGGGCTTGAACTCTGGGCCTGAGCGCTGTCCCTCAGCTCTTCAGCTCAAGACTAGTGCCTTACCTCTTGAGCCACTGCCACTTCGGCTTTTTCTGTTTATGTGGTAGTGAGGAACGCAACCCAGGGCTTCATGCATGTGAGGCAAGCACTCTACCACCGAGCCACCCTCCCAGCCCTGAATGTTCTTTTAAAAAATTTAAAATTTTCCAATATTGATATGAGTATATTGATTTTATAAATATACTTACTTAGCTTAGCAGAACTACATTTCCCAAATTTCCCTTTTCGTTCCAGTGGGTTCCATGGAGAGTTACAGGATTCATGAAGAGATGTGGTAGCTATATATGAAGCTGTTCTGATTTTGGGGCTGTACGTGCATGAGTTCGTATGTGCATGTGTGTGTGTGTGTGTGTGTGTGTGTGTGTATTCATTTGATTTCATCACAAAAGACTCAGTTTATGCAGGCTACCCCAATCATCAAACCTCCTTGTTAATTTTCCCTTCGAGAATTCCACTTGCTCTGGTACAGAATTGGATGGGGAAACAGCCTTAAACAACTGCAGAAGCCAGCCCTACAGCAACTGCAGAAGGCAATTTCTTATCATCTATACCCAATCAGGCTATGATTTTGTAAAAATCTTGACTGCTATTCATATTAAGTAATTTTGAATTGTTTTTTCCATGCTAGGGCTTAAACTCAGGACCTGGACCCTCTCCTGAGTCTCTGTGCTCAAGGCTAGCACCCTACCACTTGAGCCACAGCATCACTTCCAGCTTTGTCTGAGTAGTTTATTGGAGATAAGAGTTTCACAGACTTTGCTGCCTGGGTTGGCTTTGAACCATGCTCCTCAGATCTCAGCCACCTGAGTAGAAAGTATTTACAGGCATGAACCACTGGTATCTGGCTGAACTTTAAAAAATAATTTTCAAAAGATAGATTTTATATTAAAAGTTTGTTCTTCAAAGACCCTAAGAACTACAAAGCTGGAGGAAAGGTCTGGCTCAAATGAAAGGAGTATAGAACACAGACATGTAACAAGCAAGGAAGCTGGTTTTGTATTGATGCACTTTTGCTGAAAAAAAAATTAATTCATTGTTAACACATTCACCTTAATGAATGACTAATCAACATCCAAACTCATGGCTTGTACAGAGTAAGTGTTCTTACTGAAAAATTTCCCTATAACAAGATAGGGCATAGAGACCGTAGAGTAAAACATAAAATAAAATGAATCAAAATACCAAATAGAACTTCCAGAAGACTGCCTGAACTTTAAAACTGAGGCTACATATGGAACAGCAGTGTAAGCGAAGAATCAGTGCCTTAGGAAAATGCCAGAAAACCATTATCTACAGGACAACACAGGGAGACAAAATGGTGGGCGGTACAGAAGAGTTAAGATAGAGAAGATAGAATTGCAGGTCTATTTAATTTTATAAGCAAATGTAGGTGCATAGATCTAGATCTATATAAGATGTATAGCTCATTCTCTGGATGCATGTATATACATGTACATACTCATACATACACACATTCTTATAAAGGAAAGGAAAAAATAGATGTCATTATTTGTTGAAATGATACCTGAGTGAATTTTTTTTCAAACTGATTAAAGGTATGTGTTCAGCCACATCAAACACAGATACACTATTGAAATACTCCATAAAATGTAAGACAAGACTTCTAAGTGCAGCCAAAGGATAAAAAAATACAAATTTTTGCCAAGAGAATTATAATACAAACTAGGATGATAGAAGCTAGTGGGCAGTATAGTTTTATCTTCAGTATGTTAAAAGAGAATAATTATCAACATAAAATTATTCATCCTTCCATAATTTGAAGAAAATGTGAATTCTTGTCAACATTATAAAATAAGGACATTTTTGTACAGAAACAAATGTGCAAATCCTATAGAATTCACTGCCATCTCTGAGAAAGAAACATCTAGAGAAAAGCAAACTGATAACTATTCTCACATAATTTAAGATAGAGGAAGAATGTCCAGCAAAGAAGACGGAGAACAGGTAAACAAATCTACT